TGTCCCAATACTTTTATACAATAAAAGAATAATACACTCGTGCCTTACAGGCATGTGAAGAAGGCAAAGGCACCTAATTACAGAGCTATCACCCACATTTCACCGCGTAATTGGTGACCTTACGTGTCAGGTGTTGAGGCCATCACCGTTGTAGGGTCTACACACATTACAGTACACAGGTTTCCACTTTTTTTTAGCTTAACATAGCATAATATACATAAACAATTAAAATAACCCAAAAAATAATTTTGTCCCGCTAGCTTGTACTAGACGAGACACTGTGCAACGGAGCGAATTTCTTACTCAATGTAATTGGGAATCTATATATCTAAATTTGTATTTTTTTTAGAAGTACATTCATATATGGCAGCTCTGCTTGGCCGTAAAAAGTAGCTTAATTGTTTTTTGTACTCTTTCAAAACAAATTGTAGTACAGTTTTCTTCTATATATTGTAAGTAATTTTAATTAACTATAATTTACCTACCCTTACTCAAACGGTTTAGTTCTATGTAGTCTACGCACTATGTTCATGTCATGTTGAAGTCTATATTCGAGAGCTTCGGCATACGAAATGAAAGTAAGATTTTGTAACATAACTATAGATTATTTTTTTCAAATTTAAATTGGACTGAGGTACTCTTTTCCGAACAAAAAAAAATCATCAAAATCGGTTCACAAATGCCATCGAGCAATCGCGTAACATAAACACACAAAAATAATAAAGTAATTAATGTATTTACTAACATAGTTTATAGCCCTGTTACTAATTATATATGGATTCCGGTCCGAAATAAATGCTTATTATTATTATTATTTTTATTATTAAAAAAATACAGTCAAATTATAAATATAAATAACGCACACACTCAACATAGCCCCGCACTAGGGAAACCCTGTGTCGCGGGTGCCATGGACACACATATAGACAACCACAAATTACACCCAAACTCACGAGAGAAATAAATGTAGGCCATACAAACATTTCTCCCGGCCCGGGAATCGAACCTGGGACCTCTGCGTGGCAGTCCGGCATGGTAACCGTTCGGCCACGGAGGCAGTTGAGAATTGAGAACCTCCTCCTTTTTTGAAGTCGGTTAAACATTATAAACGGCTTAAAGAACATTATAATAAAGAACTGGATACGAACCAATACGTACTTTACACAATTCAGGATAAAAATTTACTTTATATTGACGTTTTATAAGAAAACAATACGATTTGTTTTTGGTATCTAACGACTTTTTGGCATAGCGCCATCTGTGAGAATTCTATAAAAGTATTTGTTCATCCAGTTAGGTACCTTTACAGCTATCAGCCCTGGCTAGAGATGTCGCTTTTTTATAATAATAATAACGCATACAATCAACACAGCCCCGCACTAGGGAAACCCTGTGTCGCGGGTGCCATAGACACATACATAGACAACCACAAACTACACCCAAGCCCACGAAAGAAATAAATGTAGGCCTTACAAATATTTCTCCCGGCCCGGGAATCAAACCTGACCTCTGCGTGGCAGTTCGGCATGGTAACCGTTTGGCCACGAAGGGAAGTTACATAATTGTAAAAAAAATTTTGTATTGAATGTCAGGATGTTTCACCACCATGATATTCAATTATTTTGTATGCTCCACTAGTTTGTTATAATTATTAATACGAAAATCGAACACTGAAAAATAATTCCTTCGATCCAACAACAAGCAGAGAGAACTTCGTGAGGTCAGCTGGTTTGTTCCGTGACTTAGTTGGCATAGCGTCTGGCACGGTTTGCTAGGAGACGTCGGTTCGAATTCGGCCAGATCGAAAAATTTTTAGGAAGGAACACACTGAGCGCGGGCACGTGCACCCGTACCGCGTCCATATAAATACACGGATTTAGACCCGCCGCGGTCCCGATCCGACCCGCACCCGCTTTCTGCCTGTTTCACGCTTTAATCATGAGATTCCGCGGCGGTGACTCAACGGAAAGAAATTCGAAACATGTCGAGCAAAAATTCGACTTAAATACGAGAGTTATCCGTTACTTTTCTTAATATGTCTGAGCCTCACGATGGTTTTCTATTCATATTAAAAAAACAATACGAATATGATATTAGCAAAATGCTTGTGTTTACTAGGAATTTTTAAAACAAATTGAAAAACCTTGAAATACAAATTGAGTAACTGACGTGCGATCAATACAAATAAACCTGCCATGATAGTGGTAAATTAAAACAGCTTCAAATATGTTTACTCCAACAGCAACAAATCAAAACCCGTTAAATTCAAGCGAAAGTAGTCGTGTTTAGAAAATTTCAGAAACAACTAACTGGTCAGGCTCAAAAAGAATTCACACAAACAACACTTTCTCACAAAACCGTGCAAAAGTTAAAAGAGACCAACGTGTTTTTTTTTTCTTTGTTGCGCTTATGACGATCGTGTAACGTAAAGCGTCTGTCTTAAGGGGATCTACACATGCGCGCGTGTCGCACGTGCACGCCATGCGCCTCGAACGGCAATGGACGTGTCAACCTAAACGTGTGCACGCACATGTTGCGGGCAGAATACGCGCAATTCGCGCGCATGCGTCTTTAAGCTACCATCAGCGAACGCGTCCATACAATGGTTGTGCTCATTCATGTAACCACGAATATGTGCACGCCGTGAATATTATAACTTGCAAGCGAACCATTCGTGTACATGTCTAAATGTGTCCATACTACAGCCTTGGCCAAAAGTATTGAGCACCCATGATAACTTACAGTTTTTTGGGAAATATGAAAATGGAATAATTTGAAACAATTTTATTTATTCAATAAAAATCAATATTTTGTAGGTCCACCCTTTGCGTTAATTACGGCAGAAATTCTTTTTGGTAGAGAGCGGACAAGATGTTTACAGTCTTCAGGAAGTATAGCGTTCCATTCTCGGCGCAGACGGCGTTTTAGTTCTTCCATTGTGTTTATTGAGTGGCGCCTGACGTTGCGCTTTACTAAACCCCATAAATGTTCTGTGGGGTTTAGGTCCGGAGACTGGGCAGGCCATTCTAGAAGCTCAATGCTCTTTTCTCGAAACCATGTCATAGTGTAGGCAGATTTATGACACGGCGCGGTATACTGCTGGAATTTAACGCCATCCATATTTGTATCGCCAAAAAGGGTTGAAAATGAGGGCGGCAAGTCAGATTCCTGGACGTTAACGTACGTGAAGAGTTCATGCGGCCCTCACACACGAACATTTCGCCAACTCTTGAATCAGTCATGCAGCCCCTGACCATTATGCTGCCTCCGCCGTGTTGTACGGTTGGTAGTACATAGGTTGGACTACAATTCGTCGCCTACCCGGCGGCGCACAAAAGTCACACCAGGTGTACCAAAAATATGAAATTTAAAAAAAAATAGAGACTTCGGAAAAGTAAAATATTTTTGTCATTGAATTTTATTTTCAAATCATATTGTTTAATATCTTTAGAACGTGAAATTACCTAACTCACCTCAAAGGTTGACTCGTCTGACCACACGATATTTGACCAATCTTCTTAAGTGAAACTTTGATATTTTAAGGCCCATTCATACCTAGCCTTCTTGTTGTTTTGTGAGAGCCATGGTTTCTTCCTGGCTTTACAGCCTTTCAGGCCAACTTCCTGAAGCCTTCTTCGAGTAGTGCGACCAGAAATTGATCTCTTAATTTCAACTGAGAAATCAGTAGCGAGGTCTGAAGAAGATTTTTTTCGATTTTTTAACGACTCTCTCATTAACTTTCGGTCCTCACGATCTGTGGTGATGCGATTGCGCCCTGTTGTGTCCGTTCCTATGAGATCCAGTAGTGGCGAATCGCTCTATAGCATATTGCACAGATCGGCACGAACATTTCACAGTTTTAGAAATCTCTACCTGTGATTTCCGTTGCTCATGAAGAAGCTGTATTTGCACACGTTGTTCTAAACTAAGTTTGTTTCTTTTAGGCATATTGCAACAATATCACTAAATATAACTGAACAAAACACCAAAAGCGCACCAGATCACTGGATGTGTACGTAACGAGCGATAGTAGTGAACTGAGAAATAAATACAAAAATGGTAAAATGACAAATTTTAAGACAAAGTAATGTGTTAATGACAAAGTAAGCCCGTCGTGGCCTAGCGGTATAAGGATTGCTTTGCAAGTTGAGGTAAGCATGGTTCAAGTCTCATTAAAAATAAAATATTTAGCTATGACTATATAATACTGTCATTATTTTTTGTTTTTAACCTCTGGATAGTTGTACGGAATGTCTAAGTCTTGTTCATACAGAACAATAATTTCTAATTTGAATAATTCCGTTAAGTGCGGCATATTAAAACAAGAAAGAGAACTTTGAAAGTCACTAAAACTGAATAGATAAATGGGAACGAAACGTGGAACAATGCGTAATCACAGAAGCCATGATCGTATGCAAACTGCAGAACGTGTTCGTGATTTGTTAACCTATCTTTTCTTTATTATCTTTTCTTACCCACCCTACGCTTTATTAATAATATCTACCCACCCACCTTAGGCAATTTCTAGTGAGTCAATATTGTGATTTGTCTATGTTAAAATTAAAAAGTGAAACAATGCTGTTCAAAATATAACAAAATAGTACTCGTGGAATCGACCCACAGGTATTGTAAAGTCGAGTCGATACAATAAGCCGCTCGACCTATTTACTTGATGTTAAATGACGAAATTTTGTATTGGTTTAAAAAATATATTGATCAGCTTCAAGCAACACTACACTGTATTGTTAAGTTGAGATTGTTTTAATTTTTTGTTTGTTCAATACGCAAGATGGCTGTCACAACCAAAAGGTCGGTGTTAGGGGCATGTTAGGGGGTCAGATATCTCATGTATATGACTAGCACATATTTAAGACTCTTCGCAGTTTTCGGCTTTGTCGGCCGTTCCGTCCCACCCTGTGTACATATTTGTAATGTTGTGTTGTTATATTTCTTGTTTTGAGCTACTTTTTGTAACTTTCATTAATAAATTAAATTCTTACCTTGATAATTGAGGTTTTTCTCCCTCTCCTAAGTTATCCAAGTTGTTTAGTTTCTTGTTTTTCTTGACTACGCGGTTAGGATTCTCTACCTCAATTAGACCAGATACACCCTTTGCTTTCACTGGTCTCTGGAAAATCAGTACAAAATTTCATAAATTGTCTGATGTAAATTCTAGACGATTAACAAACTCAAAAACATATTCATAGTGATTTTTTTTTTTCAACATAAAATCTGCAGTACCGGCCTAACTCGAAACAACGAAAGATGCACTTATTGAAGGGATACAAGAACAGACTAACTATTCTGTTCAAATGTGCATCCTTGAAGGTCGCCGTTGGATTGCCGATGAAATTTTTCTATACCGTTTGATTTCGGGGCAAATTGATTACCCTGAACTTTTATTACTTCTGTTTTCTACTCCTCGTCACAACGCCAACGGCTAAGTAATTACCATCCTTTTAATACTAAACAATTCAGAACTAATGTTGGCTCCAATGCTATTTTCAACCGAATTTGCCGTGAGTACAATAAATTACATAAAACATAGGTCATCTGATTCGGATCTGTTTTCGTTTTAATTAAATTGATTAATTTAAAACTTTATTGTACATATGATTGCTCAGACTAACAAGACTGTAACTTTAGAATTTAGTTTAAACACATTTACATTATTTGTTTACAATCATATCCATTTGTTTGTATATAATATAAGTATAACACAGTAAATGCTTCTGTTTCTGCTATTATGCTATTATGTACAACATGCTGTATTTGCCTATTATTGGGTTTACACTGAAGTAATTTCTGCAGTGTTATTTTATGTCTATATTTACGAGTAATAGTGTATCTCTATTGGCGAATCTAATAAATAAATAAATAACGGTCTTGGTAATTGTGATATGTTGTTTTTATGTTTAATATGATTGTATTACCCCATCGTCATCAGAATCACTGTCTTCGCTACCAGACCCAGATTTTTCTTCTTCTGACTCTTCTTCAGTGGAGGCTTCTCCATGGTCCTTTCTCCACCTGGAAATTACCATCATGACTGTTATACTTCCAGTAGTATATATTTACACAACAAAGAAAACAAAATATATGAGGCATTATGGCCGTGCTGCCACTCGCTTGTTTGTTTTGTATGATAAAGTATATTGTATGTTACAAAGCTTCATTTGAAATGTATAGTTATAATTGACATTTAACCAAGAACTACTAGAGAGAATTGCAATCCAGAGTAAATGTACATAGACAGCGTAACAATTTTTGTGTATGGAGTTATCTTCGGAGTTGGTACCAGCAATACCAACAGCAGTAGAAATTGCAATATAATTTTGTCTCCATTTCCAATAAATCCTTGAACCATAAACAAAACCGTGCTATAGTTTTAATATATTTGGGAATAAATCTTGTGATACTTTTGTTCCCTTCCATAGACATTATATGTGGCTGATTGTATTCAACTGATTTATCTTTGTAATATCCTTATAAGCTGCTCAGGCTACCCAGATGCTTATCGTCAACCAAAGATCTTGGCAATATATTTGTATGTTGTGACTTATATTTCTTATGTGTTAGTATTAAATGTTACATAGTTAGCATTTCAGGCTAATCATGAATTTCCAGAGCTCTTGCAAACCAAGGGTGATTATACTATGGTTTTTAGTACACCATTTTGGACATGCTGGCAGAGCCCCACACCTACAATGTGTGGGGCCAAATCAGTTTGAAAACTGTTTTATACATCAATAACTTATACTCAACTAGCCTAGCAATTGCCTTAACTAAAAAAAAAATAAACAACCCGACCTCACTGACTTATTATGTTACTTATTGTTAAAGATAGAGATAAAACATATTTTCTAAAAATTCCCACTTTTGGATACAAATTCATCTATGTTCCAATGCGTGGGGCCAAATCAGTTTGAAAACTGATTTATACATCAATAACTTGTACTCAACTAGCCTAGCAATTGCCTCAACTAAAAAAAAATAAATAACCCAACCTCACTGATTTATTATGTTACTTATTGTTAAAGATAGAGATAAAACATATTTTCTAAAAATTCCCACTTTTGGATACAAATTCATCTATGTTTGCTTAAGACTCACTTTGTGGGTATATATTAATTTTGTAGGTATATTGTAAAATTTTATACCAAAAATTACCAATAATTTTAAACTTCTTCATGCATGAATATCAATGTTTAACATTATTGACTGTCCAAAAAACTTACGATGACTTGTGGACAGGACAGGTAGTTTAACATTATTTCTACATTTGTTTATCATAATATCTTAGAATAATAATGCATAGAAACCTAGTACGCACACGTTAAGTGAGGCAAATTGTAGGGACCCAAATAGGCTGACACAAGCGGGCGAGCCATCAGTGCTCAAGGTCAACTTGCACTTCAAACAGCTTAAGAATTTTACATAAAATACGTATAGTACAAATACATCAGATAAACATAAAATAGATACTAACATCACAATCCACAAGGAAGTTATGCATTTCAACTTGTATTTTTATGTAAATATTCATTCGAACGAAATTAATTTTGTTGTAACAAGATATGAAACTGTTGCACAGTAACGGATTCTTTTCTCCCCACTTTGCTATTCAGTTCCAAAACAATTATATTACGTAATTTTTTGAGAATAGGCAATATTGCTACAATTGCAGAATTTTTTTAGTATTTGCCTTAATTAGTTTCATGTGAAAGTCATTATTCTTGCTCATCATACAGGACTCATTTAAAAAAATTGTCTTGCCTAGACTCAAAAGTTCTTAGTTAAACTTATTTCAGTGAACTAACAATGACTAAAAAGGTCATTGTCAGTTCTCCATAGCTGTGTATAAATAACTTTGAGGTTCAGGTTCTTTATTATTATCATTTACTTTTCATGTGTTTATCCACAGATAATATCAGGCTATTTATATATCCAAATTTTCTTGAAATAAAGTCAACTTCGCTAGCCGCACTTAAACTCGCTTTTAGATTTTTGTTCATATATGAATTAAATCAAAATTGGGTAATAATTATTAACTAAATGATGAGTTAAGCAAGAGACAATTTCCCTACTTTTGATGGAAATGTTATTCCATGGTATCATTATTTGTAAGTATATTTGTGTGCGTACCGACGAGCGTGAATACAAGTTGCTTACACCTATATGAAATTGATTTTTGCCTCACTTCTGACAGTTCATTTGATATGAAACTATCATTCTAAGCATAATATAAAATAATCCCCACAGTTAAAAGTAATACAACATATTATTCTCTGCAGAATTTCTTATTATTTCTAGGCATCCTTGGCAATATTACTATTCACACACCAAGAAACCAGCTTTCTTTACAAATGAATAACCAGAAACACTGGGATGTTTTACCACTGCCTACTATAATTTGTTAAAAAGATACCCATGACAAGTCATAAGGTAATATTGCATCAAAATAGACAAATGTACCGAGATTTGTATTGTCCTAAATAGAATGCACAAATTAAGTGCACTATTGAATATAAGAACTACACAATAAATTCTAAAACCACAGAAATATGGTTGCTGTTCTATTGTATCTGACTGTATCCAATTAATGAAAGCATACGGAATCCACGTGAAACAGTAGCCGGTTTATCAAATTATTTAGAAGTATGCCATAAAACGTTCACATTGTACCAAAACAAGCACGATATTAAAAGAAGTCCTCGTGGGTAATATTTACTTGCTCTTCTGTTCCTCTAGCTTCCTTTGCTCCTCCAACTCCTCGGGGCTGGTAAATTTGCGATTGCGTCCCTTGTGGTTTGTAAATTTACCTAAAAACAACCAAAGGTTATGTGAAAACAAAGAAGCACATTTTTGAATAACATTGGACGACATTGAGGTGTGACTATACAAAAATTTACATACTTACCTCGTGGCATCTTTAGGTTTATTGAATTTTATCACTTTTCCAGTCACTGACGATGTTAAATAACAGTAGATTTGCGTCGGAGGATAATTAAAAAATTAAAATCGGACGAATTTAGCGTTGACGTCTGCCTGATTTGAAACGGAAGTGCATTGCATTGTGAGGTGTTTTTTAATGACCAATAATAATTGTCCGTGTAATAATTATTAATGATAAAAATGACTAACTTGTATAATAACTTAAAAAATTATAGAAAATTGTTTCAAAAAGCATTATTTTCTCATAGAAAATTCGAATTTCTGTTAAATTAAATATACATTTCAAAAAATCTTGTTAAACGTGTTGCAAGCGATTACTGGCGAGTAGAATTATTTAACTCGAGTTACTCCTACATCGAGTCAACCCGAGCTACTTTTATATGAACTCGAACTACATTGACTTACAATTATATGGACGTCGGGTCCGCGCTAAAAAGTGTCCGCACTTGTAAGGCGCTAAAATCGTATACAGAGCGCGACACTCCGCTTTAGTCTTCATTTGTTCTACTGACAGCGCGATACTGCGATGACATTACAATTTAAATTTCGAATAGGTTGACTTGGGACATTTTTTTCGTGGTTTTTGTATTAGACCCGTCGTCCATTTATTTGTAAGTCAATGTCGAACTAGCTCGGATCGGTACCCGATACGTCGCGTATCGAGTACCGAATATCGGGTAGATCGAGCTGACTACTTCATTCATACAGTGCATAGGCTACCGTTCTCACTCGGTCGGTTCGCTTGATTTTGATTGCCTTTCCCGGTTTCCGAGTCGAGGCGCATAGAAGCGTTTCACAATTAGCCGATCGGAAATTTTTGCCATTTCAAATCGGAACAATAGTTGATTTAACTCACAAATTAGAAATATATAATAGGAATCAGGTTCATCTTCTCACTCGGAAACCCATCTGTTTTCTAAAACTTGGATGGACTACCCGATCGGTTCGATTCCGATTTGAATGAAAATTAGCATTGGCCAATCGAGCCAAACTCTGTGAATAGTCGGTTCGAGTTCATATGAATACGCCGCACAACGCTCTCGCTACTTGCGACTCGTGATTGCTCTGTCAGACACCAAGTCGAGTCAGCAATTACGTTAATTTGAGTAATTCGAGTTGAAAAAATTACAATCGTCCTATCGCTAATGTGTACTGTAAAATACCTCCGTTAGTGTTGCCGCTTAATCAACTTAAATCCTACCAATATCTTTCGTCACTCATGAAGTAGAAATATACAAAATTATGATGATTTAAGGGTCGTATTCCAGAACTCTACTCAATGTTCAAGTCAGGACTTGAGTATGATTTCAAGCACTGGAAATACAACCATAATGGCAAGGACTTGAGTATGATTTCTAGTGCTCACTGCAATACTCAAGTCCTGACTTGTGTATTGAGTAGAGTTATGGAATGCCACCCTACGATTGCCTCTGCAATTTTTGGTAGTGCATCGTGGTGGGTGCTTAGAGGATGGAAAAATTGGTTTCCGTAGGCTAAGGGTGGGTGGATTTCTTTTGACGTCATAGAGTGTCAACTTGTCATTGTCAAATTATTGGCAATTATGGCGCCAAAATGGCGCCAAATATTTGAAAGTTTGTCTTAGAGGATGGAAAAAAATAGTCTAAGAAGTTTATACTGTCGAAATTCACCGGTCAATTTTTGAGTATTAAAAACGCGTGTGTACCTCAACTTGACATTGGCGAAATCATCGATTACGACGATGGGGCCTTAACATTTAAAAGAAGAAGAACGTAAGTGAAGCAGAAGTAGACTATGTTTTTTCTTCAACTTGGACATTGGCGTGGTTCGCCATAATTTTTATATTACTTTGACAAAACTATCGTACATAGTCATTATTAACCCTGACATTGGCAGAATCATGGTCGGAAATCGATGGAAGCTTTATAAAAAAAGTGGTATTGGAAGTAGTGTAAATACAAAAATCCGACTAACCTTCGTTATTTAATATTTAGGTATACAATTATTGCTGGACTTTACATTTATATAGATTACAATACAAGGTGTAGAAAATGATACTTAAGTCTCTGTAATAATAAACCTAATACCTGCTTCTTGTAAAAAGTCAAATATATTTTGATTTATTTTTAATACACTGTCAATTATTAGAATAAACAATTTTTTAACGACCATTTTACGATTTTTTTATTACATTGTGTATTTAACCTATGTTTATCTCATACTGTTTCTAATTTATTTATTTTTTATTTTATAATATGCTTTAGCCAATAAACAGTTAAAGGCATTTTTCACTTTATTTAAAAATAGCTTACCAACAGATTGAAAGGTATAAGAAGAAGGCTGCAATGTTCATTAGTCGTTAAGAAAAAGAAACCCTGTTTTCCATCTGGCCCTTGTCTGACTAGTTCAGTTATTTTTTTATTCTAGTATCCGGTGGTCATTTTTGATCCAGTCGTGTCACCCAAGTTCCCAACTCTCAGGGTCATAAATAAATCTACAAATGAACGACTTTTGTACCTGAGTTCAGGATGACCCTAGTTTTTTAAGTCGCGGTAATTTAAAAATTACTTTATCTAGCTGCGGTTATGGTAATTTAGTTTATTTACTTAGATCTACAAATGATGTACCTTGCTTAAGTTGCTCCTATTTGTATATTTCTTTGACTGATCTAGTCTGCATTTTTTTTATATATAGTTTTTAAATAAAGACTGAAAGATTCGAGTAGTGAGTAGATACCTATTTATATAGGTACTGTACCTAGGAGACTTGAACAATTACAATAGAAAGAAAAGTCACAATTTATCAGAAAGAATTTAGTGTTAGCCGACACTCCAATTATTTGGTCTCAAACTAGGAAATCCTTGTGCTACTATGTACCCCAATGAGATCTAATTTAGAAAATTTTATTTCTCAGATTGGTCCTATCAGGAATCGAATTCAGGACCTCTTCCCTATCTTTGTTTTTCCGAAGAAAAGAAAAATAGTGTATTTTGGTAACCTTATGACAAAATGATAACAATTTAATTTTAAATAACCTTAAGATAAAATACAAAATAAATGAATTACATTTAAAACGTTTCCAAAATGGCCTCTGGGTGGAGACTTTTTGTAAGGAGATACCCTGTTACGTTGGTTTTCCGTGAAGATGAATAAATGGCAAAGATGATGTCGCTTTGCCCAAGTAAAAATTAAAACAAAGAGAAAATATTAAATAAACTTATAAAGGCGTGATCAAAACTATCTCCTTTTAAAATCTAGCAACAACATGTCATACGTGGAGTACCTATTCAATAATTTCCGCTATAAGTTTTCCTTTCCCTGTAAAACACGAATAATAACTCTCATATATTTTTTTATAAATAATACTATTGAAATTTAAAATAAGTGTTTCAGTCTTACTGAGTTTATTATTGGTAAATCTTGTTGACAAAATATTTCATTGAAGATAAAATAATATTTTTTTATTAACTTATTCGAACAAAGCATAATACCATGATTTTCTTATATGAATGTTAGTAACTCATGCGGTATTTTCAAAACTGGAGATATTCTCAAAACAGAGATTACTTATACGACAATATTATATAAGATAATAAGGTATGGCGATGGTAAACTGATAAAAAGTATTCAAAAGATAATAAGCAAGGCGTTTAACCGCAGTGCAAGTGGCGAATGAAAAATATGTCAAATGAATTGACATGGGTTCTTTCTGTTTTTGTCTTAGAGGATGGAAAAGTTTTTGTCCACAAAAAAATTATTTTCCCTTTAGGTAAGATACTGACGGATTTATCTGCGTGTAATAATAAGTTACAATTTCAATTCTACTTCTCACTTACGCTTGCACATCGATGCGGTTGTATCATCACTGTATGCGTTCACTTAAATTTGTTTTCACTTCTCATGCTCTTAAAGTTCGTATTTATGCTGGGTGTACGCTGCATAAAGTAGAATTTTTAGCTCAAGTGCATACAGTAAAATCTTCGTTTAAGACCAAGGCAATTAGGCGCCAACGGTCAAGCACACTAGAATCACAGAATAACCTATTATATGTTCTTTAATCTGTGCTAGAACTTTGTGAAATAAAGTTTTATTTTTATTTTTATAATCCGTGTTGTATTACAAAATTAATAAAAGCAGGCAATAAAAAATATTAATAAGTTATAAGAAATGGAAGTGCATAAAAAGTAAAAACTTCTAAAACATAACTGAATATTATGTGTGTAGAAAAAAATTACATTGGCGGGAAGAATATTTGCAATTGCTATTTAATTTCAATCAAAGTGAAAAGGTGAGTGTATATCGTTCATAAAACCCTCGATTTACCGATCCACACTCGCATGCGACTCTGATAAAATGGCACGTTTTATGCACTTGTTGTATTGTACAACTACTATTTTGTACTATTTTTTAAACAATCAAATCAAAATGTTCAATTTTGTTTTCGGTCCCTAAAAACGGTACCTACCTATAAAGCAATAATTATTCTGACATAATAACACAGGCTACTCGAAACGTGGACAATTTTGGCACATCAAATATTTTTTCATTGCAAAGCAATTACGTTCAACCGAAGCCTTGCATATTGATATGATATGATAGGTAATAAGATATAATGTGGACGTTTACTTGAGATGATTCATGTATGGGTTAATCATACTCTACCTAGATAACTATATAATGAGTGTGACATTCCTACTAAGTGTAGGTATATATTTTGTATTAATACAACACATATTATATACATGTACGTACACACACACACACACACACATATATATATATATATATATATTTATGGTATATTTTTCAAATTGTAATCTTTATCTAAAATTTCAGCAAGTAATATTCTGCTACTTATTTTTTTTATGGTACCAAGTTACGCTACGAACAAGTCGTGCGCGTGGTAGTACCCAATGTTGGGCAAAAATTAATTTTTCAGGTAATTAAAGATTGACAATTAATTAATTGTCAATTGCGAAATAGCAATTAACAATTGTTTCATTGTTAATTGTGAGAACAGCAATTAACAATTAATCAATTGTTAATTGCTATTTCGCAATTGACAATTAATCATTATTTTTTTTTTATTGCGACTCGGCAAAATGACTGCACCGCGCCTGATGGATAGTGCGAATACAGTCCAGAGATGAGAGTAACGGATGGAAAACACAAATATCTTCACTCCGTCACTATCATTTTGCCGGTCTGGCTAAATGCTTCTTCATACTACGTTTGAAGGACCCGATGTTATAGAGGGGAGGGAATACATGCGCCGGGAGTCGGTTCCACAATTTGATGGTTCGGCATAAAAACGAATTGCCAAACTTTTTAGTGCGGGACGGTATTGAACTGACCGTCCAAC